TAGCGTAATGCAGTTCATTATCGTCTCTTTTGCCGCTGTAACTCTTTTGATTCTGACAGTTTTTAGAAGTGGCTTTCATTGAATGAGAAGAGGATGGGTATGCTATGATTTTCCTTAGTCTTATAACATGAAGGTAGGTCAGTTGAAACGGTACAGAGTGAGTTTTCGAGTTCTAAAGCCAGCCTAATTCTTGCTTTCTTAAGGATTCTATGTATGATTTCAGATGTTCGTTTCAGTGTAATGCCTTATATTCCTTCATATTTATGTTATGGCCTAATTTATTTACTAATTTATATTTATTTCAAGATTTCATCATGAGCTGACATTAGTTAGAGAACCATTGGTAAACCTGGGAGTACTGGACAGCTGTTTCGTCCTAGTTTGGGAATCTTCAGCAGTACGCACCCATCGGGATTCGAACCCAGGACCTTCCGGTTACAAGGCGAGCTCGTATACCATTAAGCCACTGGGACCCGATCCAATGGTCCTTGAATTCTAACTTCTGCCAATTCACGGCATAGTGCGACCGCTATTTTTTTTTATTTATTAATTTATTTATAATTTACCAATTTATCTATTATTATGAGCTTTCCTGACCTTTTTGATGAATTCTTTGGAATGTTTATTTAGTAACAGTGCTTCTTCCGCAAATTTCACTTCGTTATTCCGGCTTTCTAGCAGGCTAAAGAAAAACATTTTGTTAGCTGATTATATAAATGAGCAACAAATAAAGCTCTAAATGTTACCAGTAGATAATACTGTGCCACTGTGTGTTTTGTCGAATAAAATTATTTTATAATGGTATTATATTCTATCACAAGGCCCGAAGTTTATTCGTTTATCACTCAAGTCGAATATGTTATGTAAAATTAATATAGTTGTGGTGTACAGAAACCGCTATTTAAATTTTTGGCACTTATAAAAGATAACGACTTAATACATTTCTTCGTATTCAAAAAATACAGCGTCATATCTGTTTTCCGTGTTTTTTCTCTGCCACTAAAGTATTATGCATATTGGTGTTTTCCAAATCATTTATTATTCCATCGTACCATTATATAAACTAATTTACTGTTAAAGCTGAAATCCTGCTTCTAAATCTAAAATTAAATAAATCAAGATATAACACCGATTCGCTTATTCCTCAGTCACTGGCCTGAGGAAACATAATGCACGACTTTCGACTGTAAACACAAGGTGATCAAGTTACACGTCTCAAAATAAGCTGTTTATACAACTCTGTGTCACTTGCAGGGATGTCAGTACATTGATTTCTCCTCTTCGCTTGAATCACACTTTCTTAAATCTTTGTTTCCTTTCTTACTCTTTACCTTTTGCAAATTTTACGACTGAAAGTAAACGGTATGTTGCTAAGTTATTCAAAAGGCAATAGATTCTGAGTGAACTAGAGATCAGATACACTTCGTTTATTTTCAGTTAGTTTTACTGAATACTTATTATGTTTCAGAAGAAGCTATGATGATAAGAATACAGTCGCTTAAATCTATTTAAGTTATTGATAACAGTAGTCAAGTAGGTTCAGTTTTATATTTCACTGTACATCTCAACTCGCTAACTGATAGCCAGGTGTGAGCGAATTGTTTACAGGCATGATAAGACTTCTCCATCATTTGATAACAAAAATGACGCAAAGATAGACAGAAGAATTGGTGAATCTTTCTATATAATATGGTTTATTTCTACCTTCTAACCAAGTAAAAAATTAAGCAAATCCGTTCACAAAAACGATAATGATATGAATCATTTAGAACAAGTATACATTGGTAATGTACATGAAAAAAATTCTATCCCAGAAATTTCTAAGAAAATCTCACCGCCAAACAACAGTGACGCATGCAAATGCGGGAAAAACTGTATCCATTTTTATAATGTTTAGGCACATCATATATATATATATATATACGTAAAACACCTTTCTGTCGAAAGTTCTTCATACTAAATTCAAGGGAATGTATTCACATACACATTTGTCTAAGGGAAACTGATTTCATTACATTTCATTATAGATATATCAGTTGAATTACGTGATCACCATTAGTATTCAGTTTTATTTTGAATTATTTGTTAGTATGTTCAGCTAAACAAATCTTCAAACAACTACTCATTAAATAAGAAATAAATTGTCTCAGGATTATATTTCAATAGCCCAGTTTCATAAATGAACACCAAACAGAAGGTATTGTATACTTAGTGAGTATATGTCGACTGAGAAAAATAACTCGCCTAAGTAAGAGATGTGAACTAGGTTTTTCACTCAAACATTTCTCAAAAATGCCATAGTTTCTGGACATTACTTTGAAAGTGGCTTAAATTTCAGTGCAGCACCGCCAAAGGTATCAACAATAAGAGGTACTTTTAACCGATTTTTAAATGAACCTGTAGCATTTAGATGTTGAAATGTGATTGTGATTCCAATTATTATCACTGTGTAGGGATATCTTTATCTGCATATAAACATGAGATTTCAAAAGCTGTTAACATACGGATAAGCATTCGACAATAAGAAATACACATATAGTGAGCAGAGATAAAGCTCACTGAAAAGCTGTTCGCCATTTAAATTTTGATTAAACTGTTGTACTTTTGAAAAAATTGCATAAGACATTATACGACTAACAAATGTTTCTAATTCTATTAAGGGATTATAATAATGATTATATTGTACTAGACTGAAAATTTGCTTCCAAACGGTTCAAGTATTCCAAATAAACCAAGGGCATCGAAAAGTAATCGACCTTTAAATGTTTCATAATATAGCCAAGTATTAGTGGACATCAGTAGAGTATTAAACAGCTATTGATGTTTCCGGATAAGAATAAGGGGTCTCGCTTGTGGTTGACAATATGATAACTGTCGTTAACTGAAGACTAGGACAAATGATTGAAAGTATACCACAGTAGCCTACATATATATATATATATATATATATATATATATAAGTTCAAGTGACTTAATACTACGCTTATTATGTTTGCATACTTATTATAGGGTTGTTGTACTGTTAGTTGTTTTCTTTAGTATTTGTTATCTTGCGATGATATATGGTGATTCATGCATACAGGAGGTTGTCAATGGTCAGAATCCCTTATTGTTATCTTTGAACGAGAATATTTTCGCAAGCTGAAAAAAACACTGTCATACAACACTGATTATTATTGTTCCCTTAGGCTGCGAGTAGAACATAGGGCTTCAACAGCACATGTCCACTTTGTCGTATTCTCTGAGCTCCTCTTTAACTGGCCCCTCTACTTCCCTTAGTCACACATCTCCTCCTCATACGATCTCTTCCATGTTATTTGTGTTCTCAGCATTTGAAAAATAAAATAACTTTACTCTATTTCATATACACTTTACATACATATACATGCATACCGATAGCATTTCAGGTAAATCCGAATGATTAATTGTACAGACAAACAACGTTCTTCTATTTGAAAAAGTAACAATGCCACGATTTTGATGAGAAGTGCTCGATTCGCTTTAAAAAAAGCTCCTTAAACTTATAATCTGCGTTTATGTATCTATTCGATTGATGACACAAACTTTAATTAGTTCAGTTAAGATGCATTAGGAATAAATATTTTTTTTATATCTTCTGATACATTTCCTTCACTTAGAATCATTAAGCAGTACTGCACTTTGTCTAAACAGACTTTGGCTTAAGTTAAGTAGCATGCTCCTATGGTTTGAAATAAAACAAAAAAAAGAAACACGAATGTATGTATGATATGTCTGGGCTATCTGGATTTCCAAATCATCCACAGAGATTGCATTTTCAGTATTTTGTGTCAAAATGTAGACAGTAAACAGTTTAAATAGAATGGGCTACTTAATAGTGAAGTGATGGTCAACAAATCTTTCCTGGTCATCTCATATCTTGATTATTTCTAAGGAAATATTCCGTCTCATCTTCTACATCAAGAAGTTAAGACATTCTGGTATAACCCAACCCTTACTCCTACGATTCGTTTAACTCTTGCATTCTGCCTATTATTCTCTGTTGTTCCCCCTTAGTTTCCCCTTGGTTACTAAAGAAAGACTATATCTTATTACGTAGGATGTTAAAGGTTGTCAGCAGGGTAAGCAACGTGCCACTTAACCAGCTTGTTAATATTCTAGTTGACAGGCACATGGACTCATGTGAAAAATGGGCTAAACCCATTCCATCTAACTCACACCACCCTCTTCATTCACAACTCTCCCCTTGCATCTCTTCAGGGAAAACCAGAAGCCTATATAGAAAAGTATATGCTCGCACTAGTAAGTACAAAAACTCAACCATACCCTACTTAGCTCGTGTTCTGTGCGATAAAGAAAGCATTAGGCATGATACCTATAACTGATTAAATAGTCAGTAGAACAACTGGATCTCGTCTCTCCAAATCATATCTTTTATAAGTAAAACGTTTTCTATCTTTCTTTTCCTTTTCTCTCTTTTTCTATTATGTACTGCTATGTTTCTTTCTTCTGCTTGCGCCAGTAAATATGCTAGAACCTACTTTTCTAGCACCTTCAAACACTCTGTTCAATTTTGGCTTTGCTACCGACATGCCAATATATTGTTGTCATAATGAATTGAGATTACCATTAACCTATGTAGAATTTTATTTATTGTTAATGTACTAACTCGATGCAATACTGTAGTAAACTGCTGAGAATTCCATTCTGTATCACAAGTACTGTTTTGGAATAAAGCAAATTATTATTATTAAAAAATTCTCAAATATTTGACTTCCTACAATTATTTTATACTTGTTATTCAAATACAACATACATAATGCTCTCCCTTTTAGGTTAAGCCTGGAGATTTTTTTTTGGGGGGGGGGGGTAAATCAAATGCTATTTAGTGGTGATTTGTTCTCATATTTGTTTGTTGAAGGCATTTTCATTGATGTTTTCCATTGTTTTTGAACGTAGTACAGTTCATTATCTGGTTACTTGTTGGTGTGATTGACCTTTCTATATTCCGCAGAGGTTGAATGTTTCTAATTTATAATCATCTTATTGCTTTCATTCACTTAAACATTTTACAGATTGCTGATTTCGGATTCGTTAAACATGTGAAATATAGAACCTATACACTTTGTGGGACTCCTGAATATCTAGCTCCAGAGATTATTCAAAGTAAAGTAAGTTGCATTCATTTAGCTATAATAATACCATTTTAATTGTTGTTTTGTCATATTAAAAAAAATATCAGATGGAAAATTCATTTTGAATTATTCATGAGAACGTTAGTGATAGGCATTTTCACAGTGATTTTAGTTCATTTACTATTTCGAATTTTCAAAGATTAACGGAGTGTTGCTGTGAAAAGTTAATGGATTCACAGGTCCTGCTTTTATTCTACCTTTTTGCATATCTTATTATTTCTACTGTGACGTGATATGGGACTCTTTTTGTAGTCTAACTTGCATACCGAAGGAAAAGTAAATATAGGCACAACAGAATCTCACAATTTTCCTTTATTTTTATTTATTTTTTGATATTGAATTTCAAATTCAGATCAACTATTTCGTTATCAATAAGTAGTTATTTCAGGACAGTAATAAAACCATATTGCCTATTGTTACCATATGTATAATACCAGTAAAAGAATTTAGTAATTTTTTAAACTATATGCGTTCCTTTTTCACTGGATTATTGTCATTATGCTGAAGCCCGCAACCTGGATTAGTTTAATCCATGCACATAGTGTGTAACAATAGTAACAGTCAGTCAAATGACAATAGCAGGTTCATTTAAAATCATCACGCATTTTATGAATGACATTTCAGGATATTGCTCTGTATAGAATAAATTTTATATTTTGTTTGATAGTAAAAACGCATCTACCATGTTCGTCATATATCTGCTCTTTAATGGTGTTTTTGATTAACTGACTGAATTAAATCGCTTTTATGTGGAACAAGAAATTAGTTGTAGTGTACAACAGATTCGTGTGGTTTTATACTATTCTTTTCAAAAATTTGCTAATCATTTTTAACTGACTAAAAAAGTTGTCAGTGTATCATTTATTCAGAAAAGTCTCAAGGAGGATAAAGCAATTCCATAATAAAATAGTTTTATTTGATAAAACAATTTCCAGTGATGTAGTATTATGTACTGATGACATTTCAGGCATAATTTATTGTTCTTCTCTGCCACAGTACCTATGATAAATCTGGTGAATAAATTAACTAAGACACAAGGAAAATTTAGAGCAGTTTCACCGGATTGGTACTGGTCGTTGATCCTTCTGGTTTATATGAAAGAGGGATAAATTTCATTAACAAAGCGCTGATAGCGTAAGAAACCTAAGTTCAAAAAACTAAAGACAGTGTATTGATGAAGTGTGAAATATCCAACAGGTTCTAAAAGCCAGGCGTACTATTGCTCATAACTCGTAATATCTCTTTATCCAAAGGTGGCCCTTTGTTTCATTCCTTATTAATTGTTGTGAAAAGAATATTATGTCAATGAATGCATGCTTATGAAACGCATAAAGACATGTTAGAACTCATGAACAGTTATTTGCAGTGACGGCAATCAGTGGTATCTGTCAAGGGTTCCTACTGTCATTCTTTCCATTCATATTCGTTACATTCATTGATTTACATAACTTTCTTCATTATTCCAGTGCAGAACACCCTTATTAATCAGGACTATGTAGATAATGTAGTCATTTGAAGACCTTGAGCAGAAATCATGATATGTTTGCATACAATTCGCTCCAATCAAATGTAAGAATTTTGAAGGACTAGTATGAGCGAATTCCTTGTTTAAGGATAGGGACTAGAATAAATAAATGCTCTGAACAACTCAGTTACACCGGAAGTTGCATCAACTCCAACTGAGTAGTAACGGCTAAGTAGCTTGGTAGCTAGGTACTTGCTAACTTGAGTCACTTTCGGTTAAGACATGATATATTGTCTTCAACCGAAATTCATCTGTACTTTTATAGTTTGTCCAATCCAAATGTGAGGCAATGAAAGCAGAAAAAGTAAGTGTTGCAGAGTTTTGACATTTGAAAATGTATTAGAAACTAAATAATAAATCGTTAAGAGAAATCAATTTTATGGAATTCAGTAAAAGAGAATTCTGATTTCACTGAAAAAACGACAATATTTTATTCGTATTTTCATATTTGATACTGATTACTTGTCCCTAAATGTAACTGGATGTTTATATTCCACTTAAAATGCAACGTCCATAAATGCCTGAGAGTTTTTATGCATTTGATTACATTAAGAGGTGCCTTTTTGTTTCAAGCATCTTCCATCCTCCCACCACGAAATCATACAAAGGGAAAAGTAAGGATGATTTCTTATTTAAACATGGAGGCACGTGAAAAGTTGTTGTAGTAGTTTGCTGTCGTAGTAGACCTGACCTCACAGCACTTTAAGGAGAGGAAATGAGATGTTGAATATCATGTGTGAATATTCCTGCTGGTTATGAAGAAACCAGCGAAACACTCATAGGCCACAAAAAAGAAAAGGAAATAAAACGTTCCAGTTAGTACCATGTTTATTTCTTAAAGAGAGATCAACTTCGGGACTTTATGCTAAGTTTGTGAAGTTTAGTACATTCACTTTCATGTGTTTTAAGGATATACTAGTTCAATATAAAAATGAGACAAATAAACTAAAATCCTTTCCTGCAGCTTCATGTAATCAGCTCATCCCCACTGAAAGTCGCTAAGCCTACTTTAATTCATACTAATCAGAGGAACAGTCGAAGCAACAAACGACTACTCCGTTGGCAAAAAAGTGAATACTCAGAATAGTTGTCTAAAAAATTACTGAGACCACCATCTAGTGCACTACTGTTAGTTGTCAGGATAGTCACTCACATTTAATTAGGAATAAATAGATAAGCAAAACTGCTAATAAGTTATTATGGTAATCTAGATGTTAATGCAAATGCGCACACTACCCTATTATTTCGTGACTAATATATATTCATAAGCTACCTTTTAACTTTCCTGTTACAAAATAAACTAAAGGCCTAATATGAGTTAGAAACGAATATTCCGCTTGAATTTTGAAACCGTTCATTTGAGAATAATGAGATTTTTGAATCTTGATTTTAAGAGGCAGTAAGCTGAAACATTTCACGTAAATAGTCCAATTTCTAAATTCCAAGAAAACATTGATAATATGTTAGCAGAATGTGTTGTTTGGTATCGGTTAAACAAGTTTTCGTTAGGTTGCTTACTTATGCGACCAATAATTTCCTAAGAAACACTAGAAGTTTATGAGGTGATGGACGACTGCCAGTATTTTATTAAAAGATTGTTTTTAGTTGTCCAGTTTGAAATTTGAGATATACATAACAAATTTATCGAGACATATGGCGTAATTACCAGTAGGCTGTGCAGCATAATATAATGGCGGAATACTACACAATAAAAAGATATCAATGAATGTTGCAAGGTGGAACGCTTTTACAGAAAAGCCTATATGAATAAAATGTAGGTTGGTTGCACACGTCATGCTGACAAAAATACTAAGAACCCATTAACATGAGGATTTACGTCTCTGTGTAATTTACTCTGTCTGTCTGTCTCTCTCTATATATATATATATATATATATATATCTTTTAAAAGACCAAAAGATGCATTTGATGCAAAGCGCCTCCCAGAATAAGCTGAATTCAGGAAAAGCGAGTCCTGTGCGAATCAGATTAAAACTGTACACATCGTCACCGGACAGAGCACAGAACAATGCTCAGATATCTATCTCAAATTCATCGACTTTGAGAAGACATCCAACAGCGTGGACTGTAAAGTAACTACCACTGTGAAACTACTTCAATACTACTGATTGTAATGCCCAAAATCTTTACCAACTTCATTCAACAGGTAGATGACAACTCCACATGTCGATTGATTCACAATGGAAAACTCAGTGAAGCGTTTGAAGTGAATTCAGGAGTAAGATAAAACTGCCTAATTTCACCGATTATATTCCTAAGTGTGATGGACAGGATCATAAGGTACAATATGACTGGGGAGCGAGAAGAAAGGAGCGATAAAAAGACTCTACAAGATCTGGACTTTGCGGACGATTTATGTCTAATGCTACATAATTCGATTATCTGCAGGCGAGAATCAATAGGTTGACAGAAGAGAAAGCAAAGGAGTTTAGGTGAATATATAGAGAAAAAAGAGTTGATGAAAGCAATCAACCAACAACAACAAGCACCTAACATTGTGGACGGAAGGAATTCGAGAGAGGTCATTTTCTTCACTTATTTAGGAGGCCTCGTTTCAACTGCATGTGATATCACAGAGGTTGTCGAAACATGAATGGGAAAGGCAAGATACAAGTTCATCACTATGAATCAGTTTGAAAATCTCCTGCACTAAGTGTTTAGAAAGATTCAGATTTTCAGTGCAAATGTTACCCAGTTCTTCTTTGTGCTTCAGAAACTTGGAGCACGACTCACGAAAAGCATTTCCAACAGGCTACTGTAGACTTTTATCTACAGCTTTCTCCGCTCCATAATGAAGATCACAAGACCAAAAAGAATCAGCAACCAGAAATTCTGAAGACGAACTAGCAAAGAACCCACTGCTCAGCAAATATGCAGGAAAAGAAGTAGAAGGATCGGGCACACAGTGAGGAGACTGTTGGGTGGCATAGCGCGCTAGGCCATAGCTCGAGTGGAACCCGAATTGGAGTCCATAGGTGACATGGAGGCCATCGTGTAAAAAGGATATGAGAGACTGTAGGCAATTGTGGGGTTAGTTAAAGAGGAGGACAAATTGGAAATGTGCTATCGAAGCTGTTTTTTAATCGGATTACAAGGAATTAATAGTATAGTACCTTTTGGAAAGTGTTTCACTTTTATTTTATTGTAAAAAGCTCTTATCTAAGCTATAGCAAATGTCCAGAAATGACAAACATCTTGTCAGTTGCAGTGAACAGCATTTGAATGTGCTGAATTTGTGTATCTCTGTATTTTTCGAGACCATAGGTGTTGAGAATTTCCTGAAATAATTTGAGCGCCAAGACAAAATGAATCGCTATAAAATCACGCCAAATAATCTCATACAATACATTTACTTTTAAATAGCTCTATGATCGGTTATCTCCGTTTATTTTTGTGTTTGCTCTGGCTTACACCATCACTTGTGGAACAAAAACAAACTAATAAAGAAACACAACGAGAAATAAGATGAAAAATTCAGTTATCAGGCTTTTCCCCTGTATGGGAGCCTTCAGCGCAATTTCGTCATTCAATCTGATAGAGGTGTAACAAAACTCTAATTGGTAACTAAGTTGTTGGGAATTTCGAGAAAAACGTATTGCTATGGTTAGATAGATGTTTGCAAGCTAGATGATGAATTAGTCACATTTATTTTTCAGGGATCACTTATTCTTCTTGATAAGATGCTTTTATATTTTCTGACTTCCAATTTATACTTATAAAT